CTCCGCGGGTGAGTGCCGCGCCCTCCCCTCTTTTGTGTGCAGCCCCCGACGCGCGGGCCCGCCCCCGCGTCCCCGGGGGGCTTTGTCTGCAGTCGCGGGTGAAGGGCCTTCCCCGGGTGACGGGCGGGGCGGCCGGGAAGCCCGGGCTTTATTGTCTGGGTTTCGGGGAGCACGTGCACCCCACCTGCTCCCGATCTTCTCCTGCTTCCCTCTTCTCCCCTCCCTCTGGTCCCCATTCCACTGCGTCCCTGAAGCTGGGTACCCACCGTAGTGGGTGTGTAGGAGAGACTAGGTGGTGGGTTCATTGGGCTGGCTTGGTGGCGGGATGGGCAGGCCTTGGCGCCCTAATCTTTTAGAAAGCGCTTTTGTCTGCCCGTCTGGGAAAGGGTGCAGTTTCGCTGCGGGGTTATTGTCATTCAGCCCTGGGCCCCCTCCTCATCCCCTCTCTAGTGTAGGCGGTCCCCCTGCGCTCCAGACTCCACACCCCACTCTTGCGCTAGTGGGGAGCTGGCCTAATGGAAAAAAACGTCCACATTGATCCAACTGCAGTGAAGGGAGAGCGCCTCCAGTGGTGTGGCGTGGGGACAATTGGGGAGGAGAGGGTTCTGGCCAAGCCCTGCCACCGCCCAGCTTAGCCGGCTTGTGATGTGGCGACTCCCCGCCAGCTAAACCGAGCCCGCAGGACGCGATCTGGGCAGAGTGTCCCGAGGGGGCGCAGTTCTGCCAGGCTCTCAGTTGCAGGGTGACGGGGAATTGTTAGTGTGGACGGATTCAGCCTCTTGATGCATCATAGTTGAATCGGTGGGTGGTGGGGTGGGGCAGAAGGCAAAATCGTTGACATTCTTAAAGAAGAGGAAACCTGTGGCTTCCTTGCTGGGAACCGGCCAGTTGAACTTGTGACTGACACCATGAGACTTATGAAATGTTTTGGTTAGAAATACTGTTTATTAGAAGTTTTAGATCAACAGTGATAAATCTGTATGTTCTCTAAAATAGTTTTTAAATGTTAAATTCACACGAGTGCCTGATTGTATATTATTATTGTTATTATTTTTCGGAGTATTTTATTTCCTCTTTCATCTTGGGAAATTGTTTATTTAGGAAGAGGAAGAATCAAGTTGTTAGAGACTGGGAGACTTATTAGCTGCATTGCTAAGAAGCTTGTTAGTTTTGGGGCAGAATGTGCCCCACTTGCTGTGGAACCTTTCTTTATGCAAAAAGTCAAGAATCAGGTGGTATAACAGCTTGCTGAGAAGTCTTCTAGTCTTGTAGAATTTCAGAAGCGAGTGGTTCATTTTCTAGAAAAAGAAAATCAGGTTGAGATCACACAATTCATTTTTTTTCCTTCCAATTCTCTCTTGTTCCGCCACGGGAAAATAAGCCAAGTGTGATGATGCTTCTGAATAACACTTCAATATTGACTACCCCACAGCCCTACTCAAAAGGTCTTCGAAGATAAGAAGTAATTCAGTCTTTCCTTTTTTTGTATCAAAAAGACACATTTGAGGGAAAGTAAGGTGATGTAGAAAAATCTAAAGTAATGAGAAATTTGCCAAAAGGAAATTGAATGATTGACAGAAGCATACTAACTTGTCCTCTTGGATCCTTGAATAGGAACTAAGAGAAGAGTTCTGTTCTTTGATCAGCGGTGATTCAGGAGGTGACAGTATTCCTTTAGAATCTTGACTGTTGGAATCCTAAATTTAGGGCATGAGAGAGGATATTGCCTGTTCAAGGACTTGACATAATTCCCTATTTCTGTATCGTTGATATCTATTTGGAGACTTTAGTTCCTTTCTTAAATGCAGGAACATCGTGGTTATGGTCGTAGGTAGTTAAGCCATTTCAGTGAGTCTAGTCTTCTTAACGCTGTTTTTTCATTCATTTAACATACTATTGATTGCCTGGCAAGAGATGAGCACTGTTCTAGGCTCCAAGAACATAGCAAGAAGCAAGACACGTGTGCTCCCCTGGGGGCGGGGTACAAATAATAAACACAAATAAGAAGCTCCGAATAGTGGTATGTGCTATGAGGAGAATAAACGGGGTGATAGCATGGAGAATGATTAATTAGGATGTGTGAAATGTTCCCAGCATCTCCTAGGGCAAAGGCTCTTGGCATGTTGGACAATCTGTAAGAAGATTAGTGAGTAAAACTAGGGGAGAGTGCTGTAGAATGAGGGTGGAGAGGGGGCCTTCGTGCAGATCCTTTTTGGTGTCTAACAGGCCATGGTAAAAGTTTGGCCTTTTTAAGAAAATATTGTTTATTTTAGAAGTACGCCCTTCAAAATAATTTTATTGTGATTTTGGAGCTAAAATATAGTTTTGAAGATTCAGAGGGACTGTGAGGACTGAAGCGAGTAAAAACAACAACCACAGGAAAAAAGACCCATTGCCACCATGTCTATTCTGACTCACAGCGACCCTACAGGACAGGTTAGAGCTGCCCCACAGGGCTTCCGAGGAGCGGCTGGTGGATTCGAGCTGCCAACCTTTTGATTAGCAGCCGAGCTCTTAACCGCTGCGCCACCAGGGCCCCAAGTGAAGACAAAGGAAGCGAGAAGTGTGCAGAGCATCGTTAGCAACGTAGGGCAGCCTGGCTAATGTCACGGAGTATAGTAGATCCGTGATGTTTGTATGTTTAACGTTGCCATTTGACAGTATTCTAGAGTAAATTCTGATTTCCATCACTTGGTAAGTAGTAATTTTGCTGTTGACCATTGTGAAGCTGTTGTGCCTGGAGCACCCCCATTGCAATGCATTAGGTCTGAAATGAGAATAAAACATCTCTTTAACGGGAAAACACTTGGCTTCAGTTTAAAAAGGTGGTTCATTAACCTAGGCTTTGAGGATATGCACAGGAAACTCTAGATAGAAATAGATTTGAGAGAAGTGCAGACATTACCTCTAAGGATGACTTTGAGCCAGTCTCTGGACATGTCCTAAACCAGTGTTAATTAAGACTGAAAATCTGTGATGGATCTTTAAATCCATACTCTGCTATCTGTAGTTGATCTTTTGTTTTTTTTTAATTGTACTTCAGGTGAAGGTTTACAGAATAAACTAGCTTCTCATTAAACAGTACATATGTTGTTTTGTAACATTGATTACCAACCTCGTGACATGTCAACACTCACCCCTTCTCGACCTTGGGTTCCCTGTTACCAGCTTTCCTGTCTCCTCCTGCCTTCTAGTCTCTGCCCCTGGGCTGGTGTGCCTCTTTTAGTCTCGTTTTGTTTTATGGGCCTGTCTAATCCTTGGCTAAAGTGTGAACCTCAGGAGTGACTTCATTTGAGCTAAAAGGGGGTCTGAGGGCCATGTTCTCCGGGTTTCTCCAGTCTCTGTCAGGCCAGTAA